CTTCCCTTACCTGTTTGATTGCTTTTTCTTGTTTCTCTTGGTTTTCTTGGGTATCTTTGAGCGATTTATTCATTTCCTCTACCTTTTTGTTTGTAATCTCTAATTGTTTATGGCAGTTTTTCACCTCCTGTTTAAGGTCTTCTATTATTTTCATATAATTCACTTTTGAGTCAATTTCTTCTAATTCTTCTGGAGTAGGGTGTACAATTCTTCTTATTTCGGGATCCCTGGATTCTGGTGATGTCATGTTGCCTTTCATGTTGTTGGAGGAAGTCTTGCATTTGCGCCTTCCCATCTCCTCTTTCAAATGGAGCCAGGAGAGGCCTGATGTCTTGGTCTAGTCTTTGCTGTGACTGAGTCTCTGGGTGTATCTCTTCAGTGTAGAAGCAGCGCCCGTCCTGTCAAGCTGGAAGTCCTCAGCACCCAAACATGGAAGACTGGTAGTCCAATGACCCGCCGACAAAAAGGGGGGACTTCTGTTTCTTTCTACTTCCCAATTTCTTAATATTATTTCATTCAAACTTGAACTTCATTCAAAAAGGTCAGGCAGACAAATATTCTAGCCTAGAGAGGGCAGATGATTATGAAGCCCCATATCTGGCTGAGGAGCACCCACTGAAAGAATAGAGCCAGTTTTCTTTAAACAGTGTGACTGCTGTGAGGTTCCATACCAAAGAGTATTGGAGCAAGGTAAGTTTCACGCAATAGGTGTAAAAAGGAGATAAAGAGAAAATAAAGTTATGTGGATAAGGAAGGTGGGTGGAATCGAAAAGAACTGAGGAAGAGGAAAGTAAGTATCATCAAAATATATTGCATGAAATTTGAAATTCTGAAGGAATGTTTAATTATAATTGTATTTGCTTATATATAACTTATGTATTCTCTTGCCTAAGTTTTCTTGTTTTATTTATTTTACATTATTTAATTTATATATATATATATTAAATATATATTTTAATTAGATATATATTTTATTTAGATATCCTCTAGTACAAAGCATTTATAAAAGAATTTTTTTCTAGATTTTGTATTTCATATAGTCTTGAATGGGACAGAAATCCATGCATATTTATGATATATGTAGCCATAACTTGAGACATAATTTAGGCTAACCACATTTATATCTTCTCTAGCATATATTTTTTTCTATGAATTGGAAACCAATCTATTCTTTTGAAGTATTTCAAAAATCACTTACATGACAACAGTTCTACTACAGAACACAAGAATGAATTTTTTTTTGTCTCTTTTGATATCTATCTCAGATTGGATTCCTGTCCCACACCATTGGAGGAAGATACCGATCCTGTTGTTCTCTTTACTGTCATTTTGTTTACATCTAGTGTGGGCAGACCTGCTGGATATTACATGTCCTCTGGCAATCTGGGGCCATTTCTTTTTTTACCTTCTTCTACCATACGTTGGATTTCTTCCCACCATGAACTAGCTTGGAAGGGATGTATTTATTTATTTATTTTTTTTATTTTAGTTGAACAACATAGGCTCGGATGGAAGTAGAGCAGAGCTGAAGCTTTGCATAATACTTGTTAGGGCATAAGAACTTTTTGCTTTTTCTGTTATGCAGT